TTCAATGTTAGAAGAAATGGGTCAAATGGTTTTTGTGCATTCAAGTCACCAAATCTTTGGCTCACACAATCAAGTACTTGACTCTTGTGCTTTGAAACTACATTCATAAAATCTGTAATTTCTGACTCGGATATTAATAAATACATACCTTTGTACCTAACCCTGTCCATCTCTTTGGCCTGTTTAAGCAATTCATTAATATCTGGGCCAAAAGCAGAACCAGATCACTCCTGGAGGGTATTGCACAACACATCTAGTTTTGTGATAGCACGTAGGAGGTCAATGCTATCTTGCTGCAAGTTCAAGGAGAGCTTTGTTAGAGATGTTATGATTTGATAAAAAGCCAAGGGATTTAGCACAAACTTCCCCGACTTGAATCGTTTGAAGGTTTTCTTTATCTCTCCTAACATATTTTCTAAATGCACAACAAATACTTTGTACCCTTTTATCAATACATTACATGCTTTTACTTTATATTAAATCCAATGTGTGCCATTAACTTTTTGGGAGTTTACCACACCCTCCTCCATGATGTTGGTCAATTCCTTTAGGTCCGCAAACGTTTGGGACTCCTGTGATAAAGTGCATAAAAATATAACTTTGAGTCAATAACATTTTTCTCAATATACGTTTCTTTAAAACTGTCTTTTATTGTTAATTCCAGTCTGTGATGTATACTTCTTAACCATGGATTATCACTCTTGAAAAGAGCTTATTAACCCCTCTTGTGACCAAGGTTAACACTTGCACTGCCAGCCATCATACCCACTATTTTGTTATGCAAATTAGTAATACCAAGTTAAGTAAAAACTGTCAATAAAGTGTTTTTCAACCCTTGTGCAGCAGCATGTTTCAGTCTTAAGTCAATAAAAAGCATTCTTTGCATATCCATCCTTTGTCACATACAACATAAAGAGGACTTCTTTTTCTATCTCACTGGTGTCAGTAGCTTCATCAAGAAGTATGGAAAAGTATTCTGCATTAGCAACATTCTGTTTTTATAATTTTACATATACAATAATTTGTTTTATTGCTCACAACTATGTATGAAGTATAGCATCACCTGCAATATTTTACTGTGATAAATCACAATCTACTCAAAATGTTCAATTTATATTAGAAAAGCTAAGTTATTGTTATTAAATATTAATAATTTAAATCACATGTGATATACACGTATATTATACACACACACACACACACACACACTTTTAACTCAGTTTTGTGCATGAGACTAATTCATAAATTAATTAGATCACCTAGGTGACCTTGCTAGATCCTAAGATCTATAAATTTATTAACAACTATATATCTAAATTATCTTAGCCTAGTTGGTAACCTGGTAATTAAATAGAACCTAATTAATACAACCATCTCAATATGAATTAATAATAGTGGCCTATCTGAACTAGTTCATTTCGCAGTTCCTCTCCACCCAATAATCATTGTGAATTTGGAACACTTCTTATCTGTGGAGTACATCTTCCCGATTAGTATCCCATAGTGTCTCTCAAGTGCTACAATTGCTGGAAATTTCTTAAACGAGATATCTTGAACAGCTAAGATGTAGGAAGTCTCCATAAATATCCCTACCCATCTTCTCTCCTCTGCTGAGTCTATGCCGAAGGATTTTCCGATGGCTGTTTCGGCATAAATTTGCTCACTTGTTGCCTTTCTTCTAAAAACATAGTCTGCTGCCCTAACATGCTGTTCAGAGTCTTGGTGTTTTCATTTTTTTTGGATCAGTTATTCACACTACATAGGCGTCAAGCTGAAACTCTTGACAAGTTTAATATGATCCAAATGTTCTATATACAGTTTACATCTTAAGCTATCAACAATTCTCCACTTGTTGGTATAATCAAGCCACTGTTTTAATTATCCAAAATATTACACCAGTTTTGAACTGTTTTCACTGCAGGGCCCAGTGTGTCTGGACACATGTTTACAATAAACCAAGTCTGGGTTAAATAATATAATCTTATTAACAGTGTTTATTGTAGGATTGCACACCTGTAGCTGTCAGTGTCATTCCAGCCCAGTATTTCTGTACAGTCACTGGCATACAGATCTACTAGTACGTCTAACTGTGTGATGTTTGCTTTCTAAAAAAATTCTGCGGCATGCTGATACACATCAATGATGTCATACAAACATTATGGGACTACTTTTCTGAAACTGGTTCATGAGCAGAAATTGGTTTATAGATCTATAGCATATATAATAAAATACAACTGCCAAAACGAACACATGATGCTTCGAGTACTAGTAGGCGTGACTTAAGTACGATCAGGGCCTAATCAACATCTAAACTGCATTGTGTACTATTATACTAATTAACTTATTGTGTAAATATCAGTCATATATTAATGCACAAAACTCAGACATCTAAACTTCGTAGCCTAGGAATTTAGGTGAAACTGTCACAGTGGGCCTGGCACATTGTAGAGGTGGTTAGGGGTTTTGGGTTTGCATTAGAATGCTATCACAGATTTCCCATCTTTTAGATGCATTTAAAATAGGTCTAATCTGTAAGTTTTCAAAAAGTCTACAGAACATCACTGAAGTAAGAATAAATTCATATAGACCTAGATCTCATGACTTAGGCCTGCTACTTTGTGACTTGTGTTTATATGCACCACTCATCAACCCAACCCCCTCACTTGCATATGCTAGTCTAAAATGGTATGTCCCAGCTTTGAAGCTTTCTATTGTATATGGCTGAGTGGCAAGACTATATCCATAAAGAAAAACACAGGTCCTACATAAAATAAATGGAGATTTGCAGTCACTGCTATTATGATTATTATATGCATAGCAACAGGCCAACTGTGCATTGCAAATTGTGATGTGAACATGGTCAAATAAAGCCCTGGCTGTGGGTAACTCTGAAGAAACAATAAGGTTATTCATGAGAAATGTTTAAACTGAAAAGAAGCCTGTGATACTACAAAACAGGTAAGATAAAGAATAGTTTAGAAAAAGATAAAGGATTCAAGTTTTGTTTTATATATATATATATATATGTTCTGGTAACACTAAAGGACCTATACCTACCCCATAAGACGAAGCATTATGAAGAGGGATGAGTCCTCCTTTGTCTTGTGCATTTACATCAGCCCCATTTTCTAACAGAAACTCTGCGACTTCAAAGTTGTTGTAGCCAGCTGAAGCAAAAAAAAAGGAAGTTAAACTATTAGCCATATTCACTACCCCTTGTAATACTACATACAGTATGATATACTCAAGTTATCATTACTAATGACAGATGGTACCCTGAGTTGGTTCTTGTTCTTGGCTCTCTTCCTTTCTTTACCAAGCCAGACATTTCTTGAAGTTGCACTCCAGAGTATTCCACTTTTAAGGGGTTCATATCAGATGTAAGAGCCAAATTCTAATATTTATGTTTATTCTAGCTATTTGATTCTTAGTTCCTCCAACTTCTTTGTAGGGGCTGAGAATTGAGGAACTCTGCAAAATAAACTTTGTGAAAAAGTTTCAATTTACTTTCTGACAGATACAAGAGCACTTTCTTCAAGTTCTCAGTAATGAAATAAATCTGTTATGCACTTCTTTAAAATTAACTTATTACAAGACAAAAATAAAACCCATTTGATTAAGGTTTTCACGATTTAGCACTTAACTCTCTCACTACAAGCTCAGTCCCTGGAACCAATCTCGTAACCATTTTGTGTTTGTTATAGTTTTCTTATTACAACTTTCAATACCATAAGTGTATCTTCCCAAAATTTGTTAGACTTTTAGTAAACATTACAAATCTTTTATATGCAAAATATCAGATTTTTTAATGATGTATTTTTACTAAATATTTGTTCGTGAATATAGGAAGTATTTATACATATTAATCTGAGTGCTAAGTGATTTTCATGTTAATATTAAATATATTACCCTTCATTTCAAAAATCTCAAATTTTATTGGTATAATTTCTAAAACCTCCTAAATAAACTTCAAACGTTTTTTTTTCAGTAAAACTTTACATTTTATCTGTAATTTTCTCTACCCTAACTGTATACAAGGTTGATCAATTTGACCAGCCTCGTAACCACCAAAAAAAAAAACTAAATAAAACTAAATTACCCTTTTCTTTTTCTTTCTAGAATGACTTCAAATTGCAATATGAAACTACAATTTGCACATCCTAAATAGCTTCAAACTCATAACAGTATACATCAATTTTACTTAAATTTTCTTTTATTGCCCTTTGAACCATGTCTAACTACTATTCCTACAATCATAAGTTGTAAATCTTGGGGAATGTGCTGCTCACATTATGCTATCAAATTATATTACCCACAAGCCTCAGGAAAATTTATTGTTATATTATTATTTATTTTACATAATCTAACATTAACTAACCTAAAATTTCCCATTTTTACATTTTATTTACTTTTATAAAGTAATAAATCTAGAATACACATGAAAAACAGGAAATGAAGTACTTAACTGGGAATTTTTTTGCTGACAACTGTTGATGACATTTAAGCCTATTTTTTTTTTATACTAATGGTTTTAGTGCACTAAAATTTTTATTTAATTTAATAATGCACCAAAGAGCACAGAATAATAATATGCAAAAAGCAGACAATATCCCATAACTATCACAATTTTTATGGCTTTCTATGCGATGAGAGCCATTACAAATTCATCCAAGCTAGTCAATGTGTTTCCCTTCGGAACAAAGCTTGTACTGAAAGAGAAACTGACATTTCTCTGTACAGAAAACAACATAATATAATATGTCACTTGATAGATGAAAACCTTGGCTTTCTATTGGTTATAAATAATATAGTATTAAACGTAAGAAAAAACTATTGACAAATTCTGAAAGAGATGTGAAAAGTGGGTGTGGCAAGAGGGGTCTGATTTTCTATTTGATGGCTCTGTAACCAACAAGATTGAAGATTATAAAAATTATGCTTTGCCTGAGTAATGACAATATTATAAAAAGTAACTTCCATTGAATTTCGTACTTACTGAAGGGATGGTAAATAAGTTAAAGATGGGATGCCTAGAGAACAAATTTCTCACACTATGAACTTAAAACTTATATACTATTAAAATATGGATTATTAGCTACAATTTTATGCTATACTCATTGGTATAATATGAACAAAAAGCAGTTTAATTAAATTTTGAATGTAACTCACTAAAAACCTTGTGACATATGCAGTAAAAGATGCCCGTGGTGATACAGTTAATGCACAAATTGCATAATACTTTTTACAATAATGTATTAAGAATAATAGATAACACTTTCAAAATCCAGAAACAGTAACAACACACTTGGGATGAAAAATCAACAACTCACAAAAAAAAACAATAATAATAATCTAAGTACTGATTGTAGGTCTGACTTTCAAAAGTTTTTGAGTTATCAGATTTCTTCTGTTATAAAGCAAACAGTTGAAGCAGCTGAAAAATTATCACTCACCTGCTAGATGTAGAGGGGTTGAGTTTCTTCCCTGTGAATCTCGACAGTTAATATTCTGTGGTGTGACCAACTTCATCACTCGAGCAAGGTTACCTTTTTTAGCTGCATCTAGTAAAGCTGCATCACCTATAACATTTGCAAGTATTTACTCAGGTTTCTTTATCCTTATTATCGGAATTGTGTAATTCTGAACCATTTGTATACAAGCACCATCTATGCCTGATAATGTTTTAATTTAATGCCAATTCAAAATTAAGAGTGACAATACTAAAATACATGATGAAGGGTAACTCCTGTTTTATTTTCTTTGTTAGTAATTTTTAACTTAGAAACATTAAGTGTCACTATACTACTTACAGGTTTGTGACAATTATGGAGACTAGGGTTCCAACATCAAGAGAAAAGTTTTACTTATCACTTCTAAAGAGATACTACTTCTTATGTTTACTCTTGACTTCTTTGTTTCTCTATTTCATAAGGAATGCCTACCTTTCACAACTGGCTGCACATGGGTCCTTATTTTACAGGTACCTCTCATAGAAGAATATATTTTATTATGCACTATTATGTGCAATTCTATTAGTTTTCAGCCTATATGTGTAAAATTTCATATATAAGTAATGCCAATCAATCAGTGTTATTTTTATATTCATTTATTGAGAAGAAAAATCATGTATAAAAATTTGGTAACAGGTATAAATAACACCCACACAAATAGGCTTTCATCATATTAGTCTATGGACAAGCTTTCAATCACACAAGGCCAGATAAATGTTTGTGTCTTCCATCTGTCCTTAAGAAAACTTTTAATTGGTTTAAGGCTTGAAACGTGGTAAAAAGCCATTGGTATGTGTTAGTTATTATAAATCTAAAATAGCAGTAGTTTTACGATACTCAATAAAGTGTGGAGTTATTTAGCTACCTCAAGGTAGTTTTATTTTTTGCTCTTTATAAGTATGGCTATAATGAGGATTTTTATAACCACTGTTGGTGGAAGACAAAATTATATACAAAGCCATATTAAGGAAGTTGTATTTCAGCTGTTCAGATAAAGAAACTGTTCTTTATCTCTTCTTTCAGTGTACAGAGTTATAAGTTTTGATAAGGTATTTTTAGTTTCTCTGGCTATCCAAAGCTCTGGAAATTGTACAGTTTAAGATTCCATCCAAAATTCAACAAACATATAAAATATTTTTTGTGACCTCATTAAATAAAATAGGTATCCTCTATGACAAAATGAAAAGTTAAACAAAGTGGAATAAAGGGCACCTTCAACTGCAATACACAAGTCTATTTTGGCTTAGCTATGTTGCTTTACACAACTCTATTTTGGCTTTTCGATGTTGATAACATGCCTTTTATTTATTATTTTGTAGACTTGTCCAATAATGCTAAGTTAGTTATGTAATAACTTCTATTACATGAGCTGCTAAAAATTCTACAATAATAATTACAATTAATAATAAGTAGTCTTGATCATGAGTAAACTAGAAAGGTTCAAAAGATTCTATGACCACTCTGACTTAGGTCATCAGTTCGGTACTTTTTCTGCTAGCAGTGTTTCTAGCTTTTAACTCAAACATAGCAAATATAGCAAACAAATTTATTTCCCTTCAATTAAGAATTTTAGCCATGTTTAACTTTCTGACCTTAATTTTCCAGTATTTAAAATTAGTAATAATGCACTTTTAATACACTTTTTTATTAATTGCTCATCTTTCATTCAGAGGTTAAAACCACTATCAGTATATGATCAAATAAGTAAAACTCAATACGCAATAAACGGTATATGAAATACACACTAACCTTTCAACAGGTCAGCCACATCCTGATCCCCTTCCTTAACTAGCTCCAGGGCTGTGTTTCCTTCTCGATTTTTTTTAGAAGGATCAGCACCATGCTATAACATTTCAAGTTATAAATACAATTCAACATTAGCTGTAACATTTCAGGTGAACAAATACAACTCAACATAAGATGTGACATTTCAAGTGAACAAATACATCTCAACATTAGCTGTAACATTTCAAGTAAACAAATATGCCTTAATGTTAGCTATAATATTTCCAGTAAACAAATATGCCTTAATGTTAGCTATAATATTTCCAGTGAACATATACCTCTAAACTTGGACATTACATTTCAATGTTAGCTATAACATTAAGTGAAAATACATCTCAATATTATTTTCAATTAGATTTTCTGCAGACAAGATTTACATCTTAATGAATTAAATCTGTCATGGTTCAAGAATTCTACAGCTTTAAAATTGGTACATGCATAAGTTACTACATTACAATCTGTTTCTGGTTTCCCTCATATTTTCTTATCTTTAAGTATAGAAAATATAGTTTTGAGCTATAGACACTTATACATACATAGGACCTGTAAAGGTAAAAACACTGAAATCTCCAGCAAGTATAATATAAACACAACAAATGTTTTAATTTTAACTTTGTTTAAAATTGGATATGGCTAATAATCTAGATATGTTTTAAGTATTTAAGATATAGATTAATTAGACTACTTTACTGACCAAAAAATGTTTGATTTTTACTGTTCCTATTTTGTACATATAACAATTATTTTACACCATATAATATTAGTTTTTGGTGAGCTGTAAACTTTTTATGGTTAACTTAAAAAGAAGATACACATGTACTCTATATCAACCACAGATATAAGTTTAGCTCTGTCAACTTATAATAATGAATTAATAATATATGAAAAAACAAAACATACACACAAAATTAATTGTAATCTGGCCCAACTAAAAGTAAATCCTACAAAGATTTATAGATAAATGAAAATGTAATAAAAGAAACTATTGGTATTTTTACTTATTCTTAACAAATAAACAAAAAACTACTAAATGCTAGAATTAAGTTAAGAGCTATAATCAAAATCAATAAATAGTAACCAATATGTTTTTTAAAAGAAATTGTAACATATTACAGTGATGATAAGTTTTCAATATTCTTTAAACATCAACACAAAACAAAGACTAAAAGTTTTTCTCAACAAATATTATCAAACATCACATCTAAAGGAAACGCTCCCAAAATTTCAGTAAGTACAAGTTTCTGTTTTAAAATACCAATACATTAACCAATTTTATTTCTTAAGTATAAGAAACAAACCTTTAATAGTAGTTTGACTATTTCATATTTTCCTTTGGCTGAAGCTTCATGTAAAGGTGTGTATTTCCAAAGATCAGCTACATTAACATTGGCTCCATGCTGAAACAATATAAAATATATCATACCATTTGATGTCACAATATTTAAGACTTTAAAAGAAATAGTACAGTTTTCTGTATATATATATATATTTAAACTTTTCAAATGCCCTGTAAATAACTTCCCAAAAAAACAGGACAAAAACAAAACCACAACTATGACTACAAGGTATAAATTGATGTCTAATGAAAAAAAAATGTTTTAGTTGACCAATCTTGCACTAAAGATTGTTTTGTAAAGGAACAATGGCAGAGGAATATAATTTAAAAATAATCATGAAACTTTCTATGAGAATTAAAAATAGATTACTTAATGATAATGTCAAAATATTTTATGACTAAAAGACCAAATACTATAAAAAGAAAAACTACTGAATTAATATTTGTTTAAGTGTTGAAGAATTTTTCACATCATGCAAAATACTGCCAACTTTAGCTACAAAAATTAGAATTTTTTGGGAGAAGTGAGAACTAAAACTAGGTGGGATTCAAACTCGGGAATCTGCTTACTTGTAAGATGCTTTAAACTACCATGTCTCAGTTCTCACATCATTGGCTAGTAAAACTAGTATTACTCTTTTAAATAAAGCACAATGAAATATTCAACTGCAGCCACACAAGTTACAGCATTACAGAAACTCTAATTACTTTGTAACTTCACTAGAAGGGTCTGCTTCTTTGTGCTATTAATTCTTTAAGATATGACTAACTAAATTACAAGACTTAGAGCTATTCATAACAATTGATTTTAACTCCAACTGATACATACACTTGTACAAAATTTGAAAAATATTATTTTCTAAACACATGTAAAATACTGTAAAAATGAGATATTAGGTATTTTTTTATCTATTCTTTGTTCATGAAAATTTCCACTCCAGTTTAAAACACATTTTTGACATTGCCCTTCATAATAACTGTATACCAAGTTGTAAGTGTAATATTGATATATGTTTAACAACCACATAAAGTAACTACGTGTCAGGTTGTTAGGTGTAATATTAAAACACGTTTCACAGCCACATACAATAAACATGTCAGGTTTTTAAGTGTAATATAAAAGGTAAAATATGTTTAACAACCATGCAAAGTACACAAAGTAACCAGATGTCAGGTTGTTAAGTGTAATATTAACATGTTTAACAATCACATAAAGTAACCCACTTGTCAGGTTCTTAGGTGTAATATTAAAAAAAATATATATTTAACAACCACATAAAGTAACCAGAATTCAGGTTTTTAATTGTCTTATTAACACATGTTTAAGAACTACATGTGAGGTTGTAATGTGTAGTTTTAACATGTTTAAAAATCAAAATATCTTTGCATCGTACTTTAACATTTTAATTTATTGTATATGCTTCGTCTTCTAACTTAATTTAAAAGAATTATTTAACAGCAATGTTTTTTGTACTTGCTAAGTTATAGCATACATGAATTTTGTGTATGAAGACAAATTATTGAGTGGAAAAAATAAACAGTAGAACAATCATAAATAAACGAGGAAAGAAAAAAAAACATGTTCTTCCAAATTATTTCATGGAAAGTTAAATTTTATATGCAGAATATTTCAATTTTGTTTGATCTTTATAAATATGTTTTCATTATGGTAGAATCAGGAAGCTACCAAAACATAACACCAGCTTTTCAAGAATACTGTGAAACTTGAGCGGCTGACTGCAAAAGATAACTTGATATTGGCCAAACAAGATCAAGGTAAATAAGCAAAAGGATTTAATTACAAACCTACTCTTTTATTAGCTCACAGTATTCTAGAAATATCTAAACTATATGCAAGCTTAAATACTGTCAATGCTATATATTTCTAACAAAGAGAATATTATGTGTACGTTTGAGATAAACAAAATGTCTTAATAAACTACCATCCTCAAACTATCTTACCAGTCTCAGATTTCGACCAAGTTAAAATCCTCAAATAACCTTACCAGTCTCAGACTTCCACCAAATTACAAGCCTCAAATATCTGATCTGTTTCATATTTCTAACAAAATACAAGCCTAAATGAACTTACTTTTTTCAGATTTCTATTAAGTCATAACCATCAATCAACTTTACCTGTCTCAGGTTTCCATCAAGTGGCAAGCATCAAAAGACCTTATGTGCCTCATATTTCTATGAAGTCACAAGCTTTAAATGAACTTACTTTTCTCAGATTTCTATCAAGACACAATCCTCAATTCTAACAAGTCACAAGCCTCAAATAGCTTTACCTACTTTACAATATTAAATTATTTTATGTAAAAAAAAACAATTAGATAGTAGGGTCAATCTACAAAAGTAAAAAAAAATAATTAAAATTACATGTGTATCCAGTACAGCTGGGCAATTAACTTAATTAACTATAAGCATTAATTACACCAATAAGTTTCACATAAAATAATTGCTTAACTCTCTCGCTATGATCTCGTAATCCTTTCGTACTAGTTTTAGTTTCCATAATATAACTTTAAATACACTTCGTGTATCTTCACAAAATTTGGCAGATGTTTAGGAAACATTCCAAGTCTTTCGTACATAAAAAAAATCTGATTTTTTATTGATGAATTTTTAATACAGATTTGTCAGTGAATATGTATGGTATTTCTATACACTAGTCCAAGTACTAAGTGATTTCCATGTTAAGATTAAAATATTTTTCTCTGTCTCAAAAATATGAAATTTTATTTGTGTAATCTCTAAAACCTCTTCAATAAATTTCAATAAAACATTATATTTTACCTGTTAATTCCTCTAACTTTAAACAAAGTTGGTCAATTTGACTGACCTTTTAACCACCAAGAAAATTTTTTTAAATAAATCTAAGTTACCCTTTTTTCTTTCTAGATTGAATTCAAATTGGAATGTGCACTACATTTGTTTATAC